CCAGTCCGCCGTCGCCTGCATTGCCCTCAACCGAAGTGGCAGCCTCCTGGCGACGGCCAGTCAGAAGGGCACCCTCATTCGCATCTTCAGGACGACAAGTGACAGCTCTGCTGGTGGGGGAGGTGGTGGTGGACACAGTGCTGGAGTTGCTAGCAGAGGATCATCCTCATCTTCCGCCGCCGCCGCCTACACTCCCCTCTCGCCGGAGAAGGTGGCGGAGTTTCGACGCGGCCTGGACACCGTCACCCTCTACGGACTGGTCTTCTCCCCCGACTCCGAGTACCTGTTGGCTTCCAGCGACAAGGGCACTGTCCACCTCTTCTCCCTCGCCTCCTCCGACTGGAAACTGGGCGGTGGCGGCGGTGGTCGTCGGTCTGCCCTCGCCCCGCTGGTCAACATCAACGGCGAGTACTCCCTGTCGAAGTTCACCCTGCCGGCGGAGTGTGCCTGCGTGTGCGCTTTCGGCGCCGACCACCGACGGTCGATCTACGCCATCTGCGTCGACGGCACCTTCCACAAGTACCGCCTGGGCAAGGACGGCACCTGCGAGCGGGACAACTTTGACAACTACCTCGAGGCGAATGAGGAGTCGGAGCAGATGCTGCTTTGAGCCAATCTGGGCGGCCTGCTGAAACTACCTGAGACGGTTGAAGCTGTATTAGCCACCTTTTTCCCCCAACAAAACCATTTAATTAAATGCAGACTGTTAATGTGATAAAGATCGGCTACTGAAATTTTGTATCGTTTTCAGCTTTTGATGATATATGAAAAAGTATGTTCTGCTCAAAAGTTTTTTTATTAATTTACTGAAATAAAATTAAAATTTTAAATGTGCAAGCGCTGAAATTTAGTATACACTGAATACAAAAATTTTAAAAATTTAAAACAACAACTGAATAATATTGCTATGACAATTTTTGCTTGTTTACCATCAAATTTCGCAACAAATTTGAAATTTTTTTTGTAAGTTTCAAAAAATCTTTTGGTCGTATTTTAAGGGCGATTGGGAAGTGTAATGAAAAAATTACAAAAACAACAAAAAAAATGTCATCATCATAAGAGTCGCCTTATGACGAGCACTTGATATCCCCCGCCTTAAGAAGGAAGTTATATGCTTTTTTGCAGTCTAATTTCAACTCAATTTTTCATTTTTGCTTGGCAATATTGCTTTTCAGCTTTCATAAAAACAAAAAACAAATCAAATTATAACAACTGGTCACATCTCAAAATGAAAAGTCGATCATTGCGAAACGGTAAAAACATTCATTTGCCTTCTGTCTCTCACAACAATCACTATCACCAATCATAAAAAATGCGTTCAAACAAATCTTTTTTGAGCCCTACAAGTACACAGACGTCAACATCCTCAAAACGTTCTTGGGTGTTTAGAAGACTTCCTGTAATAAAAACAATGCTTTGACTCTAAAATGAAAATTTTATTTTTTCTTTTACTTATAAATCACCCCATTTTTTGCAATTTTCAGTGTTGATAGTTCAATATGGCCAATATTGTTCATGTTGACAGTGTCCAATTTAGACACCACTCAAATGTCATTTGACAGAAGAAAACACTCATCATTACTACTACCAGAAAAATGGGTGAACAAAAGGAAGACGCAGGCATTAGTGTGACTGGTAGAGGAGCAAATGAGAGATAATCAATATTTAATTGGGCGACAAAAGATTTGCATTCTCGTTACAGCAAAAGGAAACGACAAACATGTTATCAGCAAATAAAAAGCACCAAAAAGCTCAATATCGATCAAGATCTCCTCTGATTCGGCGTGCCAGCATAATATCTCTTGGCATGATGGTAACTCGCTTTGCGTGAATTGCCGCCAGGTTGGCGTGCTCCAGCATTGATATCAAAAAGTACTCGGACGCCTGGTGTAAAGCCTCCAGAGAGGCCACCTAAACAAGAAAAGAAAAGAAAATTAATAAATGAGTGGAAAAAGGTAAGGTAGTGAGTGAACCCAGTAAAGGTACCTGAAAGCGAATGTCCGTCTTGTAGGTAGATGCGATCTCTCTTACCAGCCGCTGAAATGGCAGTCGGGGCATGAGCAGCATGGCGCTGTTCTGGTAGCGGCGAATCTCCTTCAGGGCAATGACGCCCGGGCGATGGTACTTGCGGCGCGGCTTGGCGGGGGGCGCCGCCGGCGTGGCGTACTTGCGAGCCGCCTTGAAGGCGCTCTGCTTCCCTCCCGGCAGGTACAGTCGCGGTCGGTGGCTGCTGCCACTTTGGTTGACAGTGCTGGTGCTGGTGTTTGGAGTGCCCCGAAAGCTGGCACGAGCCACAGAACCAGTAGCAGAAGCAGGAGCAGGAGAGGCAGCAGCAGGAGAATCAGCCCTAGCAACCACAGGCGAAACAGCCCTAGCAAGAGCATCCGAAGCAGCACTAGCAACAGCCTCAATGGCGGCATTCACCGAAGCATTCACCGAGGCATTGACAGCCGCTTCCTGGTCTTCGGCGTCTTTCTTACTGCTGGAGCTGCTGGTGTTGACCACGATGCTGGTGGCAAATCTTGCCTCGCTGGAAGCACGCTGTTCAAAGCTTTTCTTGGTTCGAGCCATTTTTTCAGTGTGTTGAGTGCTGTTGTGTTCGGTGTGTTCAGTGCTGAGCGGCGGTTTGGAAAATGAAAATGTGTGCGCCAATTCAAGTGAGTATGTGCGCACGTGTGTCAGTGTGTACTGCCTGCGTGGTTTTCTTCTTTCTTTCCCACTTTTGTTTGCGTGTGACTGGCTACACATTTTGTGAATTGCCCTTTGACCCCTCTGGAGGCCAAGGAAGTAGTGGCACTGTGGTAAAAAAGATTGAGCCTCTTGAGATTTTTAGAAGTAGTAGCACACTTTAAGAAACAGAAAGAAAAAGAAAAGGGAAATCAGTCTAAAATGGTGTGTGCTTGGCAAAGCAAGGAAATAAATGTGCAAACTTGTTTCCCAATTTTGTTTCCCTCTTGTTTGAAGTCACGTGATGCGCACTTTTTGTTTTTTAAAAAATTTATCTCCGTTGAGCTGGTTCAGTGTGCTTTAGAAAGAAGCAGGGTGTGCAGTGCATCTTGGTGATAAGTGGGAATGGGTTAAAGTCACCGGCAGACTGGGCAAGACACTGCCGACGCACGATTTGTTCTGTGTTAGCCAGTTTGAACTCAGTTTTACAAAAGTTACTTTAAAGTTCAGATTTTTATCAGGGTTGTAATAAAAAACAGTTGTTTTAATCAGTAATTATAACGAAATTAAAATTGACAGTAGTTAGTGTGTTTCTGTCTATCAGATTATAAAAATAATTATTAGAGCTTGTTTACCAGTTGAATAGTTGTGACAGTGTAATTTATACTTAAGTTTTTAAATTTTTTACAAATTGGTTTTATTTTAGTGATACTGGTAGTTTTATAAAAAACATTAAAACATGGTATTTTTAGTTTTGCATAAATTATAGATTAGCAAAAACGGTGAAACAGCAAATAGTTTGTTTTGTTTATACTTTGGTAATTTTTGGTGAAAAGTTGAAAACATTACACAAATACTGAAGAGGGCTGTTACTCTGTATCGGAACCGCTACTTCGTGCTCAATAGGCCTAATTGTTTCTTGTTCATAATTAGGTTCGGCGTTTTGAAAAAATGAAGCCAATGATGAACAACCGATAAAAATGAGAACGCGATCCATTGAAAGAAAAAATCCTAGAAAACAACCAAAAATACCAAAAAGAGTAATCAGATAAAGTAACAAAATGATGGTACTTTTTGAATTCAACTGGTTCTTTCTGGTAGTTGCATTGCTTTTGAATGACAAAGTATTTTTTTGTTTAAACGGCAAAAAGAAATCCGTTTCATCATTATCGTCGTCACTTCCATTTTCATCATTGCCTGAAAATTGAGCGTTTTTTGATAAACTCTCAAAATCGCCTAATAAAGTGAAAAACGATTTGCATTAAAAAGTATTCAAAAGTTTGTTTTACTTAACTGTTTTGAGTTGAAATATTATTTAGTGAAAATAATAGAGTAAATGGCAAAATTTGTTTAGCGTTTTCTGATGTATTCAAAGGATTTGAATCAATAGAAACGCTGCTCAATGCAAAGAAAATTGTCACTATAATATAAAACTTCATTTTTGATGCGTGCTGTTTGAAGTCGTTTTGCCAACTGATTTTTACGTTTATAAATTTCCTTTATATAAATATGTTAAAAACAATTTTGTGCTTTAATATTGTTTTGGCAGCATTTCTTGAATTTTGATATTATTAAAAACAAGATTAAAACGTCAAAATACACTCGCTGAAACCACATTCAACGTAATTTTGCAAAACAAATTGTGAACACAAAAACAAATTTACACTGCATTACGCACAATTCCATTAGCAATTTCCGCATTCTGGAATTGACAGTTTTCAGCCCAGATTATATACAAATTTCTATGTTTGAGTTCAAAAAATTTGAAAAAAACACTTTGCCACAAATTTATTGGACAACGTTGATTGCATTTTTATTTTTGTAAACTAATTCAAATCTATTTTTGCTCCAAAAAAATATTTTAACACTAACATTTTTGAGAATGTGTAATTTTAATGTTCAGCAACAAAGTATGAAATACAACATTTTTTTGATTTGATATGTTTTTGTATTTAGCTCTAATGACAAATATTGAGAATTATTTGTTTTTAACGATAATTTTTCCCTTTTTTTGCTGTACTTACTTTAAAATGTTCACACAAATAGAGAAGCTTTAAAAGTTTGTCAATAAAAGTAATCAAGCAAATACGGTGTAGTGGCACTGACTTTTAAATGTGAAAGTTTTGCTATTTGACGACAAATTTCTCTACTGATGAGACTACCGGTTAACGAAAAAATAATGAAAAAATCAATAATGCAATGAGCGATAAAACTATTAAGGACAATAACTGTTAGAGTGATAAGAAGATGAAAGTAAATTAGAAAGGTAAACAGCAACAGCATCTTCCATCTTTTTAGCATGTCAGATTCAGTGCAACTCAGCACAACACTGTCTAGTCAGATTTGGCCATTCGAGCCTCGATCAGGTGATCAATGATGGTTTCATCGGTGATGGTGGAGATGTCACCAAAGTCCTGTTCACCGCGTGCAATCTTTCCCAGCACTCGACGCATTATCTTTCCGGAGCGAGTCTTTGGCAGGCCTCGAACGGCCAACATGAGATCAGGCGTGGCCACTGGTCCGATGGTTTTGCGAACTGATATGATGCAAAATAAGTAAAAGTAAAAAGCATTCAAAAGTTAAAATTGAGCCATTTTGGAAGGGGGGGGTGTATTTCAAAAAAACTGTAGGAGTGATACGTACTGAGATTTCGCAGGTCTTTCTCCACCTCGTCATCGTAGATGTAGCCATTCTTGGTGACCACGTACACGCAGATACACTGGCCCTTGATGGCGTGCGGCATCGACACGGCCGCCACCTCGGAGATTCGCTTGTCATTCAACAGGGCAGACTCGACTTCGGCGGTGGACAGCAGATGGCCGGAGACGTTCAGCAGGTCGTCGGTGCGACCGGTGATCCAGTAGTACCCGTCGGAGTCGCGGAAAGCCGCTAAATAGAAAAACAAGTAAATAAATATGAGTTAGACTGTAGAATAAATATCTCTAAAACTGCTTACCATCACCAGTGAAGTAGTACTTGGGAAACTTGGCAAAGTACGTCTGCTCAAAGCGTTCGTGGTTGCCGTCGACAGTGCGAGCAATGCCTGGCCAGGCTTGCTAAAAACGGTTGCGAAAACAAATGAGTATATCGTTTTGATAAACAATTAAAAAAGACCAACCTTAAAAGCCAAAAATCCCGAGTCTGAACCGTAGATTTCTTTGCCATTTTCATCGAGAATCACCGGCAAAATGCCAAAGAAGGGCAACGTGGCCGAGCCGGGTTTCAGCGCCACCGGTCCAGGAACGGGGAAAATCATCGGAGCGCCCTGAACAAAGAAGTATACAAAAGCAAGTCAGCATTAAAACAATCAAAACAAAAAATGCTGCAAAAAAGTCTGTTACCGTTTCCGTTTGAAAGTAAGTGTCCACAATGGGACAGCGTTCCTTGCCGACGGTGCGAAAGAACCAGAACCAGGCCTCCTTGTTGATGGGCTCGCCGACCAGCGCCAGCAGCTTCAGCTCCTTCATCGGGTGCGCCAGGACGTACTTCTCGTCGTACTTCATCAGCGAGCGGACGGCGGTGGGCGCCGTGTAGAAGATGTTCGCCCGGTAGCCGTCGATGATCGCCCAGAGGCGGTCCGGCTTGGGGTAGTTGGGAATGCCTTCGAAGAGAATACTGGTGGCGCCGTTGGCGAGCGCTCCGTAGACGTTGGCGGTGTGGCCGGTGATCCAGCCGAGGTCGGCCGTGCAGAAGAAGATGTCCCCCTCGACGTAGTTGAAGGCGTGCTTGAAGACGAGGGCCGTGGTGAGCATGTACCCGCCGACGGTGTGCACCACTCCCTTCGGCTTGCCGGTGCTGCCCGAGGTGTAGAGGATGAAGAGGGGGTGCTCCGCGTCGAGCCACTCCGGCTCGCACTCGTCGTCGGAGCCGTCGGTGCGCACCACCTCGTCCCAGGGCAGGTAGAGCGCCTGGTGAGGGGACTGGTAGGCGGCCATAGTCGCCTCGTAGGCGGCCTTGTTGCGATTGGCCGAGGCGGCAAAGTGGCGCACCAGGATGATGGCCTTCAGGGGGAGGGCGCGTCGGAGGACGACCGCCACCGCCTCGTCGATTATGGTCTGAATGTGGAGGAACTTTTCGCCGCGGAAGGCGGCGTCGGCGGTGACCAGCACCGTGCAACGGGCGTCCACCATGCGGTCCGCCAGCGACTGAGAGCTGAAACCGGCGAACTGACAAGAGAGAAGCGGAACAAGTGAAGCATTTTAGGTTTGTAATCAAAAACCAGTACCCAGCACTTACGACGACGGTGTGGATGGCGCCGATGCGGGCGCAGGCGAGCATCGCCACCACCAGCTCAATGGTGACGGGCAGGTAGATGGCGACGCGGTCGCCGGGCGTCACGCCCTGTCGCTTGAGGGCGTTTGCGAAGCGGACCACCTCGAGGCGCAGCTCCGAGTAGGTGATTGACTTCTGCTCACCCAACTCGTTGCCCTCCCAGAAGTAGGCGATCCGCTCGCCGCTGCCCCTGGCGATGATCCGATCCAGCAGGTTGTAGCTGATGTTCGTCTTGACGCCCTTCAGAAACTGCACCTCGATGGGGCCGTCGTTGAGGTCGAAGTTGTAGCTGAGAATGGCGGACTCGTCTGCGGGCAGCGGCGACTGCCAGGTGAAGTCGGCGGCCACCTCGGCCCAGAACTTGCCGGGCCGCTTAATGGAGAGGTCGTACTGGCGGCGGTACTCCTCCATCGTCGGCACGTGCAGCCGCTGGGTCACTGGGAACTCTGCCGTGCACTGAATGCGCTCAACGTGGGCCAGGCTGTCCATGGCTATTTCTGTGTTTAGTAATTAGCTGATGCTTTAGGTGTTGAGAAGTAAAGGTGTTTGTCCCCAACTGTTCTTTTTTCAGACAAAGAAGATTGAGATGAACAGAAGAAAGTCGTTTAAATACGTCCAATACTAGAGCTGAGTGAGATTAATAGAAGCTGGTACTTTTGCTACCTTTGAAGAAGTTTTTCTTTATGCAAACAATGGAATGCTAGAAAGGGTGAAAACAAGAAAGTTTATATAAATTCATACTGTTCGAATAAAACAAAAGCGACTTTACTGTAGTGCAAATAAACTTCTAATACACAGGGCAACCCCAGGTAGCTGACACTGAACCAACTAAACTTGCCGATAATATGAGCTGCCAAATCACATGTGTAGGATGTGTAGCGGCATGAACGCATATTACAGCACAGTTACAGTTTTCAATTGCAAGAAAAAGTTTTCAATTAAGATTTGGCGTAAACAACAACAACTACCGCTTAACTAAACTTTTGTTAGACAATTTTCTAAATTATTGTATATATGCAGTTAGTCTGCCGTGTGTGCATTTAACGATGCCAATTTTAACATGGTAAAGAAGAAAAACACTAACACAGCTCTAATCGATGAATCATGAAAAATGTATAGCACAACCAGTGTGACAGCCACTCAGTGTACGGTTGCAAGCAAAGGTATACACATAGATCACATGGGTTTGGTTCACATTTTTTCACGCCACTTAATCGATTATCGTTCACACAAACAAAAAGCACAATTGCAAGCAGCAAAAGAGGCAACGGTAGAAAAGGTGAAACTTGGTGACTCAGTTCAGACTTACATTCGACTAAAAAATGACAAAAAGCGTCTAAAACGCAATCAATTTTGAGTTTAAAAATTCATCTAATAAACAAACAAAACTTACAACTTTCAAAATGTTTTGGAAAATAAAAACAAAATAAATGATGTAAGTTATCTGCAATCACAGCAATGATGATGATATAACGGCTGTGAGGGGAAATGAGCAATGTGTTTGCCTTTTTTTTTGCACAAGTGTCAAAGTGTTGGTAGAGAACAGTGCAAACTGCAGTGTATGTGAGCAGTAGGATACAAAAATGAAAATAAAACTCTATCCGAGCATTGAGCAATAGAAAATGAAGATGAAGAAGAAGAAAAAAAAACTTTGTTGTTGCACAGTAGCACCGTAGAAACGGCACCGTAGCTGCTGTTTTATTTGCCGACTTTTGGTTTCTAAACTTGCGCGCGCCCAAAAGTACAATTCAAACCTCAACAGTGAGAAGTGCACACAGTGAAGAAACACATGAGAGGCACAGCAGTTGACAATATGTTAGAGTGAAAGTGAGAGTGAGAGCAGCAGTGCAAGAAAATGTATTGGTGCTGGTGGTGGGTGATTTTTGGTCTAGCCAACAGAGAAAACGAGGGAGAGAGAGAGAGTCAGTGAATGAGTAAACGCTGTATGGAGATTTGGCTGCACTGCCTGACTGGCTTTTATATGTGCAGTGTCGGTGTCACAGACTGCTGACTGCTGACTGCTGACTGCTGTCTGCAGGACTGACTAGCAAAACTGAGGGGGCACAGAACGAAACTGCAAAAAGACTGTCACCACGAGACGGTACATTGCTGTCTTTTTTTCTCTTTTTTCTTTCTTTCTCAGAAGAAGAAGAAAAGGAAGATGAGTACGGTGAAACACATCTGTCCGCAGATGGGCTGCAGGGAAGAGAAGACGGTTGCAGTGGAGGACTTAGAAAGCAATAAGATGAAGAAGAAGGAGAAAGGGAGAAAGGGAGAGAGAGAGTGGATTTGGGAAAAGTACCCTCAAATTCCAATAGTGCCTACATTGTTTGACTGGTTGTGTATGCGGCTAGACTGCTTGTCAAATGGTCTGGGCAACTGTCATGTGATGAGGGTTCTTTTAATGATTGTGAGTCTAGTAGCTGCGTCGATATAGAAAACGCTTTTTACAAATTTATTGACCAATGCCCAGTGTTTTTGCCGCCAAGTTTAATCACTACTCAAAGAGTGCCAATTGTATAACAGTCAAAGCCCTCTCGGTTATCATTATTGCGATTTTTAAACTGATATGATGGGCTACACTTGTATTGTACAGGCAAATGGCACTGTTGATTAAATGGCAACTATTGCGTGTAGGTTAATGGCACGTTGAGCTTTCCCATTTGTCACTACTCAGTGTGTCAATACTCGGTTTGATTGAGTTTGTGCATTGACCGATGCCATTGTTTTATTTTGCAGTGCAATCGGCTGTCGTCATCAGTTGGGTATTTTTTTCAAAGTGCGAAAATCGGCAAAATTCAATTTTGCACTTTAAAAAAAGACCTCACGCAAAATTTGTCTGTTTGTTTGACCGGAACACAAAACGCTGATTTTAGTAGCTGCTTTAGACACTTCAAAACAGCATTTCAAAATATAAAAACTGAGTAAACAATCAACAAACAATTAAGTACACTTTTGGTAATTGTAATTTAGCACTATCACCCAGTTGTATTAGCATGCAACATTTACTAATCAAAATGTACTTTCGACAGCAGCAGTTAGTTAACTGTACGACAGCCAGTACCCAGTGAATGGGCATCGTTTGTGAGCGTGCTTTTGCAGTGAGCACAGTACCAGTGTACAGCGCTGTGGGCATCAGCCAATCTTTTGCACTCTTTGGGTGAATTAGGTGGTGCGCCCTTAGAACGTCCACTAACACAGCCACTCCCATCACCACTATCACCACTCCCCCCCCTTTGCTTAATCAATTTGAAGGTGGTGATTCAACCTAAACTTGGCTGTGGCGGTGCGTGCACATAGACTGCAGTGGGTATATTTTAAGCAGTAGACAGTAGGGTACTGATATTTTTATCGATTTACATTGCAAGTTTTAATAATTTATTCTATTGTGTTCATTCTTTTCTTGTGAACTTTAACTCAAAAGTTTTTTGGCAGCAAAAAAGCAATATTGAATTTCTAAAAGTACGCTTTTGTGAAAGGTAATAAAACTTGCTAATGTAATGCCGTTTCTGTGAATTGCGTTTGGTTTACCGTTAAAACCGTAAAAGCTACCTTCTCAGCGGCAAACTTTAAAATTTTAAATAAACTAAAAGTCAGCCTAGCACTCTACTGCGGCAATAAAAACGGATTTTCAGTAAAAACTAAAACCTATTTGCATATGACACTTATTTTATGTGTTTTCAGCTTATCTCAGTGTGGATCTGCTTTACAAAAAAAGTACCCCTGCAGAGTACCTTTGAGAGAAGTGGTAATCGAATGTACTGATCAGCGGTAAAATGAACCGAATCAGGCAACAGTACCTCACTTCTAATCTGACGCCAACACTGACCGCACTGGAGCAAAGCAAGTGTGTGTGTGTGTCTGTTTCATCGATCAGACCAATCGAAACACTCACACATACACCGACAGGCACCGTTGTTCTGCCCACTTAAACTCGCGCCATTTGTTCTTCAGCAGTGCTCATTTTTAGCTCATTTCTACGTTTGTATGCGGTAAACATGTGCTCGCTGACGGTGACGTTTTGGAAGATGAAAAAGAAAAAAAACCAATGCACATGGACACCGGCAGACTGACTGAATGACTGACTGACTGAAGGAGTGGAAGGTCAATGTGTGTACGGTGGCCGCGTGTACATGTCGTGGAATGTACGACGATGACAGACTGCCTGACTGGCTGGCTGGCTAACTGTCTGCCTGGTTTCAGTAGACACTACCACAGTACTTATTAGATTGTAAGTAGCATCAGCAGTGTAGGTAGCGTGATTTGTTCCTACAAATGAGGAAGAGAGTGAGAGAGAAAAGTGAGAAAAGTCAGTCCACTCTGTCAGTACACTCTGCCGCACACAGCTGTACTGCCTTTTAACGGGGCTTCTTCTGCCGCATGCTGTTCGACAACCTGTACACTGCCTTTGTACGTCTGCTATTCCCATTAGGCGCGCGCACTAATCACCTCATCCGACACTGACACTACCCTACACTAGGTCGGCAGACTGATAAGGTCGGGCACGCTGGACACACCCCTCCAGTGCATTATTACCATATGCTATTACTGGACGCATTGCTTAAGAAATAATTTCTAAATATACCTCACATGTTTGTTTTTTTATTTTTAATTGATTTTTTTATTGCACTTTACTGGAAAATTTTAAGCAGTAAATTGTCAAAAAAAGTAAATAAAAAAATTGCGTTAATTTTCATATAATTTTTTATAAATTTTTTAAATAACTACATAAAAGCTCTCCAAAGTTAATAAAAAAATATTAAGGGCTGATTGCAAAAGGGGAAAAAGACAAAAATGTTGTTTTTACTCTACTGAACCAATAATTCCATTTTGGCAGCGTTTGACGTATGTGTTTGGCTGTTGTTTGTGCTATTCAATTTCCGCTTTGAACAATGCAGCAAAAACTGCTGCAGCGTTAACAAAACCAAAAACTTTTGTGCGTTTAAAATGAATGCAGAACACAATTAATGAGTGAAATATTTTTGATAAAAAAATGCAGTTTTTTGTATATTCAATAACTAACGTTATTTTATTATTGTAGTTGAATAACTATATTATTAATTTGTAAAAGTTCACATGAACATAAAAAACATAATATTCATTGAACTTGAAATTAAGCGTGCTTCATATAACCTTAAGTACTTTATACTAAATAAATACTAAATAACTTTAAAAAATTAACTGCATTTCATTGATTATTTTTGTGCAAATAACTGAAATATATAAATTGCATACATTTAAAAAATACTTACTTTTAAACAACGTTAAAAAATTAAGGAAGTTGAAATTGTGAATGATTAAAGCAAATAAAAAAAATAATAGTTTTTTTCACAACCGTACAATACTTTTCAGTTTTCTTGAAAATAAACTCGATATTTGTTTAAAAAAATGTTGGTTTTCAATTTGTATCATGTGCTGTTGGCAAAAATTCAGGCATTTATAGTTCACAACCAAAGGTACGATTAAAAATGAGCGAAAAAAACAAAAGTTTGATTATCTAAGCCATCTGCAAGCGTCGATGTTAGATGAAAACTTCAAAACCAGTGATGGTATACAGTTTTTCAAAAAACGAAAAACAGCAATGATGTGTTTTTAAAATTGGCAAAATTTAGTAGATGATAGTGTTTGCAGATGTAAAACAAGTGTTTGCATGTGGGTTAGCAACACAGGCTGCCCAGGCTGACCAGCGTCGAACAAAAAGCAAATCTTTACTGATTATGGTTTCATATTTGTCATTGCCATCCTTGATGTCATCTCGTCATCCTTTGCTTTCTGGTGACGTCGATCAGTGAGCTTCAACTTGAATACCAGAGTGAAAACACTGACCAAGTGGGGCAGTACTGTTTCAACTGGTTTAAAATAAAAAAGAAAAGGGAAAGTTTAGATAAAAAGAACAGTACAGTACACTACTGTGAAAGCACATGCTTTTTAGTTTTTAACGCTGTTCTATCTACTTGCACTGTACAGTTATTTGTTCCCCTTGCTACCTTGTGTTTATTTGTTCTTTTAAGGGCCAATTGATCAATGCCGCTCATCAGCTGCTGCTGCTGACGTCGATCAGCAAGTTTAACTTTTCTTTTTTAACCATGTACATCTTTGATGTCATTTTTGGGCTGCCTTTCACAAAAATCTAAATTGTTTTACAAGTGGACTGGTGTGACGTAAGAAAAATGCAAACACTTAAAGAGACAACATCTTTTTAAGGTAAGTAATAAATAGTACATAAGTTAATAGTCATTCAATAAAAAATAAAAAACTAACTACTTTTTAAGCTATTCAGTTTTTTGTTTTGAAAATAAATTTAAATCATGGAATTTTTTAGAATAAAGTTGCGAAACATTTGCAAAAGTTTTATTTTATAAATACGTAAGCATTGCGCATTTATTTGTTTACTAGGTTAAATTCCCTTAGGCACTTAATATCCCTTACTGTTATTAACGGTATTTCTGATGTATTTGTTTGGTATTTACAAAAACTAATTTAAACAAACATAAATTGATTTTTGACAAAATTTTTAAATATTTATTTTAAAGTAATTAAAAATTAACTTCATAATGTTATACTTAAAAATTGCCTTAAAGCGTTAAAAACAAAAACATTACTTACAATAGTTGTCTGGTCACTTTTAGTTGTGAAAAAGCGCACCAGAGCACTTTTGTTGTTGTTACTGTTGTTATTGCGCTTGACAAAGTTTGCCTAAAAATGAAAACATAGAATTGAAATTGATAAAAATCAAAGCTTGTTGACCTTTCATCAGGCAAACAAAAACAAACCCTTTTAAGACGCGTTGCAAAAATAGTTTTTCGCTTGCTCTGGTGCGCTTTTCAACAGTGGTCGCGTCACGACCTCTGCACGGTGGTAAATGTTGCCAGTTCAAGTTCGTTTGAAAAAGAAGAGATCTGCGTAGGTGCGCCGAATCTGTACAGACACACATACACACACATTTGCTCAGACTGTTTGCTGTACACTGAAGAACCGTACTGTTAGACGTGAAAATGAAAGAGAAGAGGAGGGTTGCAGAGGAATCTAGCGATAAAAGAACAAGAGAAAGAAAGTGTACGTTGAAGAAGCTACTGTAACTAAATGTAAGAGTGGTACAATATATGAAGCAGTGCCAGTTAAAGAGAGCAGGAAAAAGTGAAGGAGAAAATGTTTGAAAATGTCAGTGGATGCATTCTGCTTCCGGAAAGTGAAAGTGGGAAAATGAGAGATGACAAAAGTTCAGTGCTTCAGGGATAGAGTGGGCAACTCTCTATAGAGCTAGGGCAATGGGCACCCCCAAAAGGGTAGTGCAAACAAACCACTAATAACTAGATGGCAAACATGACATTTCACTGATATTCAGCCGTATAAATGAAAAGTTCCTCTTTCTAATGAGGCAAATGTAACTCTGTACTGTGCAATATTAGCCAAAAAACCAAATCATTACAGAAGTACAGTGTACTAGGAAAACTAGCATACTCACTACAACAGTCATTTTTAAGTGCGATGGTTTTTACAATATTTAAAATAAAGCTTTTTTAAAAAATTATTTTACAAAAAAGCAATTTACTCAATGGTTTTCTTGTTTGATAAAGAAAATGGCCAAATAATTTTAATAAAAACATTTAAAACTGTAATTTAAAGATTTTTTTAAAATTTTTACGTTTTAAAATTAAAAATATTTAATTAAAAACTGCATTTAAAATTGCAACTTTCGCTAACTCGAATTAATGGGTGCAATGGTGGTGGTGGTGGTGCATTGCGGCACTTAATCCCTCCATTGTTTAAACCACTTGTGCATTACGTTGCAGCCACCACGATTGCCAGCGATGATTTCTCACTTAAGCATTGCCACTCTCCCTTTCTCTCTCCCGTTCTTTCTCATTTCATTGCCGATTCGCTGTTTCAGTGGCTGAAACGTTTGCTTTGCCTGCCACCAAACAGCGAGTCGCCATCGTCGCCGTCGCCGTCGCCGTCGCTGTCGTCGTCACTGTGATCTCTCTCGTCCTCTCTCGATTTCACTCGCTCCTTCTTTTGCCGCCGTTGCTGCTGCTCTTACGTTGTGCGCATCTGGGAAGACCCGTGTTGCCCAGCTGCTACTACAGCAGCAGCAGCAGCAGCCAGTTTGTCCGTTGCCGTACACTGCACACAACTCAGCAAAGTGTGCTCGTACAGTAGTACAGCTGTACACTAGACAACAGCAGCAATCTTCGTCACTTCAGTCTCCAGCTTTCCAGCTTGGTCCAGCAACTGTTAAACCGCTGCAACTAACGACAGCAACTGTTTTTCACAAGAACTAAGCAGCAGCAGCAGCAGCAGCTCAGTCTTCTGATCGCCAAGCCAACCCGCGTTACCACCGTCAATTGTGTTCCAGAAGCAGTTTCAGAGAGTAGAGTGTCACTGCTGTTTTTGTTGCCGCTTCTGCCGTTGCTGCTGCTGTCGTCAGTGTTGTTGTTGTTATTATTAGCCGTGTATTATTCCTCTATGTACTGCGCTCTGTGTGCTCCAAGTGCTCCAAGCATTCGTTTACTTGCTCGCCCGTTCACTCACTCACTCACTCTCATTCACACACACTCCTTCCCTCATTCACCCAGTCAGTCAGTTAGTCTGTTGTTGAGTCAGTGAATGAGCCACTCAAACGGCAGCAACGGCACTCACAGTGTGGCCCATTGGCTCACTACCCCAGCAACTGTCCAATCAGCAGTTTATTTGCACCTGTATGGACGAAACGAGCTGTACTAATTGAAGGCTTTCTGAAATCAAACTCTCTCTCTCTCTCTTTCTCTTTGCGATCAATGTCATTTTCACCTCCTTTGCCCCTGGCCTAATCAACCGTTCAATTAGACTGACTGACTGAGTGACTGCATCCCCGACATGACAACAGTTTAGCTCTTCACAACAGCAGCAATCGTCTTGTGTCGACAACAACATCTGTTCTCCCACTTCTACTAGACTGAACGCGATTTCATCTATTACTCAACTCAATTTTCGCAAACACCAACTAGTCACCAACGTCATTACCACCACACATTCGATTGGCACTCATTAGCGTTTCATCTGCTGAGAAGAAGGTTAACTTTCATTCCTATCTTTGCACCCAAATTGACTTTGGAACATCTGGCTACACTACTCGACATAGCATTACTGAGAAAAATTGATCATTTAGTACCTTAAAGTCTCTAAATAAAAGTCACAACATGAAATTGTTTTCACTTTCATGACATTTATTAAATTGCTTTTTGAATTTCCCATTTGCTACTGGTCACCAAGCCAAAATAAAATAGTAAGTGTTTACAAATTTTTGTTTGATATAAACCATAATGTAACAAAATCACTAGTTAATTTGATTAGTAAATTAAAAACAGTTAAAAAGTTTTATAAAACGTAAAATTTTGAAATAATTTACATGTAAAACAAAACAGTAGTTTTTGTTTTAAATTATAACATATTTTTAATTTTTTACTAATGATATTATTGCCAAATAATTGACTTGAAAGCATTTTTATAGAATTGCATATTTTGAGTAAAACATTTGCCAATTATCTATCAGTCATTTGTTGGTTTAATATTCAAAACACATCATTAAAAAAGTTATTATACAAAAATGTCTTATTTCGCTGTTGTATTGCTTTCACTGATGAAACATTAAAACAGATGCAATTAAAATTATCAAGATTTTTGCATGTAACACATTAATCTAATTTATGAAACATGTTTGAATCAAAAGAATTTAACGCAACTCGTCTACTTGTAAAATTTTTGTTTGTTTTGTATATCAACCATGACTAGTTAGAGAATTGCAATTAGTATAAATTGTATGTGATTCAAGTTCTTTTACGTCAACTTGAACTTACGTGTTAAATTTTTAGACAAACTTTTTAACTTACACTATGATTTTTTCAGTACTATTTCAAAGTTAAAAAACCCGCTCTTCATCACTTGAAAGAAAATATATCAAGTTGTCACTTTTGATCTTTAAAAAACTAATTACGTAAATGGACTTACCAATGGAGGAACACAATGGCGCCGACAGTTCAGACGGGATCGATGTCACAACTGGCAACCCAGCAAACATCCTCGCCAATGGCCACCCTGAGCCTGACTCCACCACCAATGGCTACCCTGATGATGCATCAGCAGCAGCAGCAGTTGTTGCAAATAGCTCTGCTGTTAACGGCCTGGTCACCAATGACCAGAAACAGTCAACTGAGATGAGCAACAATGGCACCATCAACAACAGCAACAGCAAAAGCTACGTCACCCAGGCGGAGTCCCTGCTGAACATCAATGAGCTAGATGAGCTGAACCGACTGATCGGCACTGATCCGAATGCCAGCGTCGTCGTGGATGGCTTTGAGCTGCCCCGGTCGCTCATCATCACCAACATCGACAGTCGAGTCTTCCAAGTGGGCACCGAGGAGAGAGTAAGTCTAAATCGGTGCTAAAGTGTAAAACACTGTTGATTTTTTCCTAGTCACTTATAGTTTGTGAGCTGACTACTAATTATTATTTGCGTTTCTTTTCCTCTCCTCCTTTTTTCTTAAACTTGCAGGCTCAATTCGAGGAAACATTCCGAGCAGTGGACTCGACGGCCATCTTTCTGTACTTTCGCAGTTTCCGCCGAGCTCGCGTCGACTTTGCCGCCTCAGTGCACGCCACGAAGGCGCGCATCCTCTGCAACCAACGTCGCATCGGCGAGGAGGCCATCAACGTCTACTACGCTGAGGCAAGTGGTTAAAAAAGAGCTGGTGATGAAGTGGGGAACAGGACACGAACATCATTACTAGTCCATTAGTGGTCAGAGGGTTGGCCAGTACTATACATATTTATAATCATCTATCTTTCATTTTTCTGCAGATCGCCGAGGTGCCCCAGGAGAATCGCCACCTACGTCCGCCTGCTCTGGAGAAACAGTTTCTCATCTCGCCGCCTGCCTCCCCGCCGGAAGGCTGGGAGCCGGTGGAGGAGGCGCAGCCAGTGCTCAACATCGACCTGCAGTCGGCGCTGGCCAATCTGCTGCCGGGCACGTCGCACGAGCTGCACGCCGCCACGGACAATCAGCCGGGCATCTTTGTGCACATCTGCCCTGATACGACCACCGACCAGAACGTCGTTTCTGCCTCTTCAAAAGATGAGGTCGATGGGGCTGATGATGATGATGGTGGGGAAGAAAACGTTGCTGGTGGTAAAAAAGGCATTGAAGTCAGTGGGGTTTTTGAGGTAGAGGAAGAGGAAGAGGAGGAGGAGGAGTGCATGAGTGCAGAGGACTTCAATGCTTCAATTTTAGCCAAAAGAGCGCCCTCTCTTCAAATGATGGGTCAAGTTTTCGGTAGTGGAGGTGGTGGAGGTGGTGGTATGCCAATGTCTCGCAAAATTCCCCACACGCCCTGTCCCCCTTCAATGAGTACTCAAGCCTCAGCGGCACGTCGTGAAGACTGAACTGAACAGAACAGAACAAAAGTTGGTCACAATTGCTGACGGTAAGTGTTTTGCTTGCCAATGTTGACCTTGCCAAATGTCATTAATCAAACTGTTAATTTTAGTTTATTCTAAAAAAAATCACCTTTTCAGTAGACTCGTCTTCCTTAACATGTCACTTTTTCTGTACTTCCCGGCCAATCTTCACCTTCAACGTTCTTTCATGACCAATTCTAGTCGAATAAAATCAGTATCAACTGAGTGCAATCCCCTGTTGACATTATTATCTCCTTCAACGCTTTACACACCTTCTTGAAAACAATTTTTTTATTTGTTGATTTGAAGTCGTACCAAAAACACATGTCGATCAAAAACCGTAGTAATTGCATGTTTATCAACAAAAATCTTTATTTTAAATTATTTTTTACTAAAACGCAGTATAAACTTAAGCATAACGTTTAAAAACTTAAAACAATTTTTACATTGATGCAAAACAACAACTCTTTATAGTAAATCTGTTTAAACTCTTAGTTTACAATTATAGTAAATTTTTACGAAAAAAATCAATCCACACTGATTTTAAAACACAACACCGTTAATTTTTGTTTTCTTTTAATCAAATTTTTCTAATATTATTGTTTTGATTTCACACACACACTGTTTTTATGGCATTTTGTAATTGTTTTTGCTGTTGATCACTGATCGCACTGGTTTGTTTTGTTTAATTTTTGTTAACCAATCAAAAACACAATTACTTAAAATCTTACAAAAAACGGAACATCATTTGTGAGTCAATGAATTTATTTCTATAATAATGTTTTCATTTTTGCTGATCTGTTTTATGTAATTCAAGCAAGTTGACGGGTTAAAAATGAAATACATCTTTTTGCAAATGTTTTCAATTTTTGACAACAATTCATCAACAACACTTAAGAACCAAAAACAAACTCTGTATAATGCCATTTTTCTGTTTTTCAACTTTTTTTCTACACTATTAAACTTTATTTTTTTGCGTAAAAATACGTTTTATTTCTTTGCTATAAAAAAGTAAAGTTTTAAATAATCATACAAAGTAGTATCAACCAAAACGGAAACCACACACAATTTGGCTGACAACCGCCAAACGTGACAGTGGTTGAATAAAACAAATGCAAAAATGTTTTTATAAATTGGTAATGTTTTCAGTGTGTGTGACAGTTGCCCTTGTTAGCTTCATACTGCTGCAACACTAAATCAAGTATTGCCAAAAAATGTGTGACATAAAAAACAAACTGGTAAAGCCACTTTGTGTGGTTCCGCAAATGAACATCATCAACGACCTGAAGCAAAATGTTCACTCAATAAAACTGACCGACGTCCTCCTGCAGGACTGTATTGTGTGTGTGTGTATGTGTGCTAAAAATGAAAGTTGGGCTTTCTTGTTTTTTCCAACTTTGCCATTCAGGGAAAACCCTTTTTACTTTTGATTTAAAAACACACATCAAAAAGCTGCTGTGTATTGACCACAGTAGCAAAAAACATATCGCATTACCGTTAACCTTTTTTGTTTTTGCATACTGAGCAAAAGACAAAAGTGCACAATCGTCATTGATAGTAAAGCCAAACTACCACAATACAAAGTAGGAAAAAGGAAAAGAGGAAGCTCTCAAAATAAACAGTAAACAATACGATTAAAAAAATGTGACACTTTTGGTCAGTTTGCACCTGAAAAAAACACAGACAGACAAACAGACAATAATTTAGTTTGGACTACTTGTTCACAATATTGCGCGGCATTTCCCCTCTTTCCCTTTTCTTGCCTCTTTTTTACTCGGTTCACCGGTAATGAGCGAAGTAATTTGATTAGAGCAAGAAAAAGAGTGAAAGTGAGAAAACGCAAGTTGTCTCTGGGCAACGCGGACAGATTTAGCCGCAAAGGTGCTTTGTGTGTTAGGTAGTGTGCGCTGAAAGAAAAAAAGTGTGTGCGGTGTGTCAGTCCCGGCAAAACGGCGTTCCGCTGCACGGCCAATTTGATGCGCGGCTACCAAATACACACGTCTGTAGTTAAAGTTAGTGCACCGACAACGGCAGCGGACAGCCAGCACACTTCACAGGGAAAAAGGGAGCAATTGAGAACTCAAAAGGTAAACGGTTGTACGGCGAAGAAAGAAAGACCACCTGAGCGAGCTGCGGCAGTCTTACGGGAAACCTGCCGCTATGCAACCTAAACCTAAAAGGGTAAGCGTAATTAATGGTTTCTTCTTATCATGCTCACACACACACACATACGTACAATAATGACAATCACCGCTTCAGATGAAGCAGTTTTACTTCAATTCTCTTATTTATTAGCATAACGCAAACTTAATAGGATTGTTAACCGAAACACTTTTCTCTGTTTTCTGAAACAGTGTTTTTAGCAGCAGTCCGAATCATTGCTAAACAATATGGCGTTAACAATTTTTCTTTTAAAAAAGCTGAAAAGTACGCTCATCCTGCATCTTCTTCCAATTTACCAGAATCAGTCGTTTAAGTGTTTGAGACTATGGTTGTACTGCTAATGCCGCATTGTCTACGACTGCCGCATTACTCGCTGTAAGTGTAGCAGGTAAACGTCAGGTGCTAAGCTCTGTCTTTGTGCCCTGTCAAGTGTCTACCTGAACCTGTGATTTAGCAGCAGCAGCGTTTTAAAAGTGAAATCCGCGCCAAAGTTTACTGCGGAGTTTACCAAAGAGCGCACAAGGAAAAGATTTTACTCCTTTTGCCCGTGTTCGTCTTTGTTTCAGCAAGAGCAGCAGATGCAGCAAACAGGCGGTTGAAGGAGAAGACGGCGACGACGGTGGCAGTGGCAGTAAAGGCAGCAAAGCTGGTCACCCCGACGTTACCTCTCTGCCTTTAGCCTATGATTCACCGCCGTGGCCACGCGTGGTGCTGGAGAGTGCTGGTCAACGCAACTTTGTTGCGGCAGCAGCCACTGCCAGTCATTCCATCTTTCTCTCTCCCTTTCTCTGCCTTTGCCTTTGCCTCTTCACTCGCCCGTCTGTTGCCCGTCAGCCCCTGAGCGCGCCACTGCCACCACTGTCAGGCGACACAGGCGACTCACTGACAGTCATCGAAGGGAAGGAAGGAAAGAAAGACTGACAGGACAGAGCAGAGCAGAGCAGAGCAGAGTGCACAAGCCTGGCTTGAGATTTAGCCGCCGCCGCCGCTGCTGCTGCTGCTGCTGCTGCCGCTTTGGCCAAAGTCGCTGCAGTCGTTGGTAGAAGACGAGCAACGAGTGTCTGTGAGTAAGTGAGTGCGAGTGAGTGTGAGTGACTGTGAGGCAGTGAGCACCTTCGGGTAAGTGTCTCCTCGCTCGCAGCAGCAGCAGCAGCAGCAGCAGCAGCGGAGATGGTGGTGGTTTGCTAGCTCGCTCGCTCGCTCCCTCTCTCTCGCAGGCAAGCAAACAGATCACACAGACGTACAGACGCACACGCACACACACACAACGCATTACAGTCAACGATCTCAACTGATTAGACGCTGCGACAACGGAGGTGAGGAGGAAGAAGAAGAAGAAGAAGAAGGAGAAGAATACCAATCATCACCGCAGACATCATCATCATCATCACTACCAACAATAACAGCAGCAACAACAGCCGCCAAAAAACATCCATTTTGACACCACACTCACACAGTTACACTTCTGTTTTTTCTATCTAGTAATTTGTCTTTATTCTCTGCCTCATTTATGCAAGTCTCATCCGGAATAATGTAGAATCATCGACGACCATCGACTGTTCCATCACTGGCAAAGACAGCAACAGTCCTCACCATCTGCTCCACTATCGTCATCATCATCACCGACCCTTTTTTCCGTCCATCAGTGTTTGTGTGTTCATATTTTGGCCAGTGAATGACCGTGACTGTTCTGTGTGCGCCACACTGAGGCCACGACGGCCACTGGGGCCTTTAAAAACTGTGACACTGTATCACCTTCAACATCACCCTCACCATTATCACCCTCACCATCACCCCAATCACCATCAGCCGAATTCATCTGCAGCCAGTCACCCCTGAGTCAGCTGTACAGCAACAAGTCGTTGGTAATGTTGCTGCTGCCGCCGTCACCGCCGCCGCCGTTGTTGTTGGCCTAACTGCAACTGCCACCGCATCGGTCGTGCACTTGAAACACGCACAACACCAGGCACATTCACACAAACTGACACACACACACACACACACCGAAAGACACCAACCGACTGTCAACCAACCAACCAACTTTCACTGACTGACTGTCTCTTTTCCTTCAGCTCTGGAGCATGGTGCAGTTGTTGGTGGCAGTAGTGCATCACTTTGGGTGCTGGCAGTCACCACAACCGCAGCATCAGTAGCAGTAGCAGTAGTCAGCCAGCAATTCACCAGAAACAGAAGCATCTTTTTTTCATCGAGCTCAGCTGTTTTGTACTCAACTTCAGCTTCTTCTCTTCTCCTACTCCATCTTAGCAGTGATGTGAAAGTGTTTCACTTCAACTTTGAATACGCCAAGAGGTAAAGTAAGGTTTTTTCCTCATTCAACTTTCTCTCTCTGTTTTTCTCCTGTCTTTCGCTTTATTTTTTCCTTTTCCTTTGCCTGTGTGTTCTTTATATTCCCTACTTTTCGGATGACACTGTCACAAGGAACAAACAGACAGACGTGCACACTTTTTTAGCTAGAAGTGGTAATGCCAAAGCCACGAGGAGCAGAGCACCTTCCTGCATCTTCCTCAAACAGCAGTAACTAAATAGCAGCAGAGACAGTGAGAATGGTTAGATTAGCAGATCTTGGCTTAGCGCCGAATTGATCGCTTTTAATCGGTTTTTTCCTTTTCTCTTTCCCTCCCTCTCTTTTCATTCATTTATCGGCGTTCATTGCTTTATTTCTTCTTCCTTTACTTCTACTGTGCACCTAACTTCACATTGCACACACACCCGCTTTAGTTGCTGTTTAGCTGTTAGTTGGTCTAAATCCCCAAAATGGCTCATTTTATAACTGGATTGTAATGAAAGAGATGCTGCAACAG